GCTTCTTTTTGCAATCGAAAAATAACCTTTTCTAAGCTGTAATCACAGGCATACAGCGTATTATCGTCTGCAAAGTTGCACAATTCAGTAAATTTAATAAATAAGAATATATCATTTAAAAAGTTATTAAAGTTATTATCCCTAAAGTGTATCAAATAAAATTTTAACATAAAAGTTGGTATTTCACCACTTGTTTTTTTTTTTTCGTTCATAGACCCTATAACTTTTGTAATATCATCAGGTGAAATAAAATGGAACATGAAATTAAGTTTATTCATTTACTAGATGGTCAACATACTTTTAGCTGACTCAACTGAGTCTGAAGTGCAAGAAGAAAAAGACCACTTAATATGGTCGGTCATACTTGATGGCAATGCAACTTTTATAAAATGTTATTAAAAATATTTGTCAACAAAGAACTGTCTGAGATAATGTTACCATTTTCATTCAGAATCATACGCTCATTAGAATTTTTAGATTTGTCCGAAAAGAAAGGTTTAGTTACCTTTAAGAGAGATATATTTGAAGTCCAAAGTGTATTGATTTGCTTAAAGTGCATCTTCTTATTTATTCGGTTTAGCTTAATCCCCAAATTCCTTTTTTTTTTTTTTTTTTTTTTTTTTTAGTTAATTAGAGCTGAAAAATCTGATTTTTCAAATCTGAAAAATCTGAATTTTTTATGTATAATGAAGAGCAGAGCACAATTTCTTTTTGTCTTTAGTTGTAAAAGGTTTATTGTTACCTCTTAGGATTTTTGATTTAAGAGGGGCATAAATGTTTAGCAAATTGCTGAATATATCATTAAAAGTACCAATATCATAACAAGATTTTAAGTTAAAACGGAGTATTTTTTCAAAAATATCACCTGAGATATTTTTGAACGATCTATATATAAGTTTTTTAGGTGGTAACTTACAAAAAGTAAATCTTAGAATGGTGCATATTAAATGACAATGATCATTCACACCAATACTAAAGGTATTTGAATGTTGGAAGTTCAGCTTTCTGTTAATAAGGATAAGGTCTATACTAGAAGGATTATTGACCAATTTAAAACAAGTCGCTTGTTTAATTAAATTAGTACATTGATAAAGTTGAAGGAATTCCTGCATCGAAAAGCAATAGCACAAAAAAAAGATTTGGATCCCAATAATATGATCCAAGCAGTTGAAAATGTTTTGAAAAAAACTTTATCTGAAAGAAAAGCTTTTGAGATATTTGGAGTCAAACGTTCAACTCTTAAGAGGCGAATAAAAGAAGCTTGACTATCTCTAAATGGATTAAATAAATTGCAATGTGTTTCATATAGTTCTATGAAAATCTTTTCAGTGATAGAAGAACAAGAACTGGTTCAATATTGTTTATTTTCTGCAAAAATGAGATATGGTCCTATTAAGCTAAGAGCACAACATTTGAATATGCTCTCAAACTTGAGAAGAAATGTCCACATTCTCGTCGAGGTTCTGCTAAACCTTGGGAAACAAATAAACATGCAGGTGTAGATTGGTTTAGAGTATTTTTAAATCGTCATCCAGAACTTGTTATAAGAAAACCAGAGGCCACATCAATTGATCGAATGTCAGCATTCACGAAGTATAATGTAGATCTATTTTATAATAATCTGCATAGTCTTTTGATTAAATACAAGTTTTCACCGAATGATATATGTAACGTTGATGAGACTGGTGTTACTACTGTACAAGTGCCAGAGCATGTTTTAGCCAAGAGAGGAGAGAGGCAAGTAGCTTCTTTTACAAGTGCAGAACCAGGTATCTTGGTAACAATGGGCAATGCAATAAATACAAATGGATCTTTTCCATCATTTGCAAATGATGTATATATATATATATATATATATATATATATATATATATATATATATATATATATATATATATATATATATATATATATATATATATATATATATATATATATATATATATATATGTATATGTAAGCAAGCGCTTATATTTTTGTTATTTTTTATAATATACTAGCTTTGATATTATACTATATGTAATATATAGTATAATATTAAAACTAGTATATTATAAAAATAAATAAAATTTTAGCGCTTGTTGGTAAAAAGAGCAAAAGTTTTTAATATTAATATTTATTTTATTTTTAATTTTCTGGTTTCAAAAGTATACGCGATTTTAATTCCATTTTTATATTCATTCAAATATTTTAGTTAAATTATCATTAAGTTAATCATTTTTAAGTGTTTGATGAGTGCTTAAAAAGTATTCAATTGCGTTTGGGATCGTCCGTAAATTACGCAACGCAAAAAATATTTTAAGAACAGAAGTAGGAGATATTAGGCTCTTTTACGCGGCGATTTTCATTTAACTTAATTTCCTATTTTGATTATTTATTTAAATTAAGACTCTGAAACGGAAAAATTTTGATCCTTTTTTGTTTTGTTTATTGTGAAATTTTGCGTTACGTAATTTATTGCGTTTTTTTTATATGAAATCCCGGGATTTCCCGGGGACATTATTCTCAATCCCGAAATCCCGGGACTAAAAATTTCTGGGATTTTTGCCATCCCTAATTGGAAAGGAGTCATCTGGATTAATTTCACCTAATATAAGTATATCAACAGTTTTATTTATATAGGTAATAATATCTAAAAATTTATTTTTAGATATTATTACCTATATAAATAAAACTGTTTATTTAAGAATTGATTTAATATTTTAAAATGCTAAACAGATATTTTTGGGATATTTGGCCCTTAGATTGTCCAAATCAGAATTTAGAATAATCCCTTCAATAGTACTTGGTAAGGTAGATTGGTGATAAGAATCTACAGGGAAATGTCTATCAAATAGACTTTAGATATGCAATAAAGTTCATTGCTAATCTACCTGATCCTCGTGTGTTTAGGTGAAGACCACCTAGTTCAAGGTGTTCATTAGACAAGTTAGAGTTATCAATAATATTAAATTTAGTTAGTTTTAATTTTTTGGCTAAGTGTAGCGACGTTAGTTTTTCGATAATGCTTTAGCATTATCGAAACGACGAATTGGTGTAGATAAGTTGTTGAACAGGAAGGGTTGGATTTTGAAATGAAGCAAACAAGAATTTTGCCAAAGCAGATTCAGACGAATCATTTGTAAAATTATTTGTTCCAACATGCAAAATAATTTTTGAAGGTTTGTTTTTCAAAAGTGGAACTAGGCTAAAATGCATGTCTTCAATTGTAGCACCATTAAATACTCTTTCTTTTACTTTTCCAAGCTTATGCATTTTTTTTCGTTGATCCCCATCAACGAAAAATCAAGTAGAAAGCTTTTAAAATCATTTAGATAACTAATAGTCTCTTTTTAATTTGCATTACAATTGTTCTTAGTTTTACTTTCTTGTAATAATAGATCCTCCGTAAATTTTGCTGCCATTTTTTTTTTTTTAAATGAACTGAAAAAAATTGATTTATTCTCCCCACAAGTTTACTAGGTATAACATGTGGTGTCAGCCAAGGGATCGTCCATAAAGTACGTACGCTATTTTTTCGCCAACCACTCCCCCCCCCCACATTTTGACATACGCTTTTTTGAATACCCTCTACCTCCTTAAAAGTACCTACGCTCTTAACCTACCAACCCAATATTTCATGATATTTTTTTTTAATTTAGTGTCTCTATACTTCTATAATTGATCTACTGCCCCCTTATCTCAGAAACGCTAATTGCAGACCCTTCCTCACCGAGCGTACGTGACTATACCTGGACTTTTTCTCATTCATATTAATGACCTTTAAAATACCTCAAATTTAATGACAGTAATGTTTGCTGACAATACAAACTTTTTCCTGTCTAGGGGCTATCCATAAAGGACGTCATCCAAATATGGGGGGGAAGGGGTCGAGTTAAAAAGGACAAAAAAGGACAAGGAGAGGGGGGAGGTTGTCAGAAAAGGACGTCACTTTATAGATTTTTTATTTTAGTTTAATTAACATGGAAAACTACGTAAACATATCTTTTTAAGAAGATAATGTATGAGAATATTTTTAATTTTATTTTTCAAAGGTGTAGCAGCAGATTCAAACATCATTGCGAGATGAAATAAATTTTTTAGGAGTCAAAAATAGGGGGGGGGGGGTCAGGATTTTATGACGTCCTTTTCAAGGGGGGTATAGGGAAAAAGGACAACCGGTGACAAAGAGGGGAGAGGGGGTCTAAAATTGGTTAAAAAATGGTGACGTCCTTTATGGATGGCCCCCTAATAATAATATCATAACATTTCATGACATGAACTAGAACAAAAGCCCTGCGAAACAAAGTTTCAAATAATATCGGAAGTTTATATAAAGAGAAAAATTTTGTTAATAGGCATCCATTAATTTAACTTTATTACTCACTTATTCAATACCATGTAACTAATGTTCTTAGCTTTATACTCAAATGTAGGATAAACTTAACCACTAAATCTTTTCAAAGTTTATATGCAAAAAGCCCCCAAAAAATGTGAACCAAATGGTTTCTACTTTAAAAAATAGACATTGGTGGAGGTGGTCGGTTTCTAAAAGTCTGAATTTTATTTTGGTAGGATTAAAAAAAAAAAAGATATAAAATTCCCTTGAAAAAGTGGTGTAAAATCTTTTACAATTATTTCGTAAACCAAGGAAATTAGAACACCTGGAACCAGCTTATGCTAGATCTTCTTAATAAGATAAAAGCTCTTGGTATTTTGCCGATCACAAAGTTGCACTTGTTCATAGAATTACCAACAGGGTATTTAATCATTAAAGAAATATCTTTATTTAAAGGATCTTTTTTTCTTTTAAAGCTACCGACTTGTCAAACAAATTTAGCATCTGTCTGACTGCATCAAACATTTGATGCAGTAGACAGACCTACTCCGAGAATATCGTCAGTTCCTCTAAATATATATATTTTTTTAGAAAGCATTTAAAGCCTTTAGAGTTTCAATTACACTTAAAGTTTATGCTGCCATAAGCACACACTCGAGTTTAACAAACAATCAGGCAGAAATAACAAGATAACTAATCTAAATTTTTCTCTAAAAATATTTTTCAAGATTAAGCAAGCAAAGTAGTCAATACAGATAACATTATACTACGGCAAACAAAAGCTAACTAAAATTTTTGAATTATCTAGAGTTCTGCAAAAAATTTAAGAACTGTAAAATTACGTATTGCTCAAGACATTTCTAATTGTTAAAAATGAATAGATAAATCAATATTTGTAACTTTATTTCAAAAAAGCTTGTTAATATAATCTTGTGATATATAAGGTAAAGTAAACTTTCACACACACACAGGTACACACGTATGAAAAATAATGAAATACGTTATTTCTAAGTACTTATTTTGCATATGCGTGTGTTTGAATTTTAAAAATGTAAATTTGTTTTAATTGTAAATGTAATTTTGTTTAAGAAGTATTAACTATTATTGGGCTTTTTTAAAGTTTAGTAACTTTAAATAGCGCAAAATGCAAAAAGTATCTAAGTAAATAAAGAGTTTTCAAAGACGACTATTGTTCACATTTTCGGCTGTTGTTCACTACCTTTATCATTTCATACGTTAAAAGCTTGTTTACGATTTATTTATTTAACTATTTGTTTTCCTACTATTGGTGCGCAACAACAACTTAAAACTGAAAGAATATATGTTAAAACAATAAACCAAAATGCTAAGTAATATGCTTTTTCGTCGCAATAACTTCTCTTTTTATAGTTTTTAAACACCCATATATTACCGGCTACGAACCAGCATAACGCAAACAATGATGTCAACAATATTAAACAATACCAACACTTTTGTTTAGAGATAGAAGAAACAAAGGTGAGTAGGACAGTTAAAATACCAGTTGCTCCAGAAATAATCAAATAAATTGGAATCATTGGTTCTATTGGACACTTGTTTATTTTTAACGCTCCTAAACAATAAAAAATAGTAAGAAAATCTAAAAATAAGTTATATAATAGTTAGATATGATTTCACATTTTAAAAATTAAAAAAAGATGTGATATGCCTAATATTTTAGTGTTTAAAAATAAAATAAATTTATAACGTATAGTTAAATTAATTTACTTCTACAAAAGATATTTTCAGCAGACATTGCCTAATGTAATTTGTTTTTACACGACTAAGCTTTTGTTAGTTTAAATTTTTACTTATTAAAGTAAAAATTTAAACTAATGGTTTATTAATTATATCTTTTCAACAACTTGAGAAAAAAATTTGATGTTTGCTACATGTGGTAGCCACACTCAATACATGTATACAGAGGTAATTTTAGGGGGTATGAAGGAGGATAGGGGGTGTTCCACCCCTCCCACCAAACTACATTCCCCTCCTCCCCCAAAGAAGGTGATTTTTAAGTTACAGTCATTTTTTAGACAAATATAGATAATAAGGTATTTGACAAAATACAGTCGGGTAAACTTTAGTTTTTGGGGACCCTTTTTTTTATTTAAGGAAACAGTCGGGTACTTTACAAGAATTTTATCGTTTTATTCGTAGAATCGCCTCTGCATATATAGCTTCCACCAATGGTGAAATATGTTTGGGTATGATATGAATAAATAATCAAACATTTCTTACATTTACGTCATCAAAAAAATTGAGAGGCTTTCATTTGATGGCACATCATTTTTTTATTGGGAAACATCAAATGAAAATCCTTATAAAAACTTTATATTCTGGGTTTATAGAATAAGTCTTCTGAAGAAAATCTAAAACATAATATCTCAACATAATATGTCTACTGAACAAAACCTAAAACATAATATCTCAACATAATATGACAAAAGTAATTAAAATTGTTTTGACAAACTTAGTTGAAAACTCAAAAATATAATCAACGTAAAAAGTCAAACAATTTTAATTATTTAATTTAATAATTAGATTTTATAACTTTATTATTAAAAGTTTTTATTATTCAAATTTATTAGTAATTTGTTATTAGACAGTATTTTGTTATATAAATAAGGGGTCGCCCATAAAGTACATGCCCCATTCTCCCCCCTCCCCCACTCCGCATTTTGATATATGCTTTTTCGAGTACCCTCTACCTCCCTAAAAGCATCTACGCTTTTAACCTACCAACCCAAAATTTTATTATATTTTTTTAATTTAGTGTCTCCATACTTTTATAATTGACCTACTGCCCCCCCCCTACTTTCCACTATCTCATGCATGCCATTTACAGACACACTCTTCCTCTTCGAGCGTACGAACTTTATGGACAATCCCAAACGACCTCGATATGAAATCGAGAATCATGAGAGTTTTTTGTTCGAAATGAAATCTAGAGAATTTAATACAAAACGAAAAAAAAAGGAAAATTATTGTGTTAAAAAATATAATTTCTAAAAATGATCTTCAAAGGTTAAGCTATGCAATTGAGTTCTGGAATTCATTGGAGCAAAGGAAGATATTCTTGAAGTAAATATTCCAAGATTTTATCACAATTTACGTTGTATTATATACAGTGGGTGATTAATAAATATAAATATAAATATTAATTATGAACTAAAAACGGTCAAAATATTTTTACCTTAAATAAAAATATTTTGTTTTTTAAAAGTATAAACATGCATTTATAATTTCACGTTTATGTGTTAAAGAGAGATTAAAGAATTATATTTATATTAAAATTTTTACAACAGTTTGTTAAAAACTACTATTTATATTGTTAAATTAAAAGGTTTTAATTTAACAACAGATTTATTAGCCAAGACTATTCAAACTTCATAACTATTTGTTGCACATGTATAGCTCAACAAGATTTAATCAACACAATTAATATCAATCAACTCCATCTCATGTACTTTTATATTTTCTAGAGCACAGTTTCGTGACACCATGATTTATTGACCTAAATAACAAAATAAGTCTGGTGAGCAACTATGTTGATTTTATTATGGAAAAAGCCTAGCAAGTGGGCTATTCTTTGTATATGCTCTAATATTTATATATATATTAACAATATATATACATATATATATATATATATACGTATATATATATATATATATATATATATATATATATATATATATATATTATATTATATATATATATATATATATATATATATATATATATACATATATATATATAATATATATATATATATATATATATATATATATATATATATATATATATATATATATATATATATATATATATGTATATATATATATATATATATATATATATATATATATATATATATATATATGTATATATATTTATATATATATATATATTTATATATATATATATATATTTATATATATATATATATATATATATATATATATATATATATATATATATATATATACATATATCATTTTTTGCGTTACTTTATGTTAAGAAAAAATTTGTCACAATCCACAAACATAATCTTGAATTAAATTTTTCAAAAACAATAAACAAAATCCTGAATGAAAACCAGTAGACCTCATCAACAGGATTAGCAAATCAATCTGTGAAGAAAGAAGTTTGTATTAGGAGTCTTTGTAGACTTGTCAAAAGCGTTCAACACAATAGATCATCAAATCTTACTAAAAAAATTGGAAAAATACGGATTAAAAAACCATACACTGCAGTGGTTTAAAAGTTACCTGTATAATAGACAACAGTGTGTTATTACAGATGATAATTACCACACTAAATTATTAAAATTAACTTGCGGTGTTCCGCAAGTTAACTTTTGCTCCTCTTTTGTTCCTAATCTATATAAACGACCTTCCAAAAGTTTCTAGCAAACATAAATTTTCAATGTTTGCTGACGATACAAATTTATTTTACTCTTCGACAAACATCAAGGATCTGTATGATAATGTAAACATAGAACTCCAAAAATTAAATATATGGTTTAAAAAAAATAAGTTCTAAACGTATAAAAAACAAAATACACTTTATTTCAACCAAATATTCTACCCTCTCTAAAAATAGAAAAAATAGTAATTGAGAGAACTCACGAAACTAAATTTTTAGGAGTTGTAATTGATGAAAATTTATCTTGGAAAGCCATAAAACATAAATGTTTAAAACACTAAAATATCAAAAAACATAGGTCTACTTTATAAAGCAGAACCTATGCTGTCGCAAAGTAAAACTAATATATTTCTTTTTTATACATAGCTATCTCATATATGCGAATATAGCTTGGGCGAGTACGCATATAACCAAATTGAAAACTTTACATCGACATCAGAAATATGCTATAAGACTAATCTATCATAAAGACAAATTTACACACGCTGAACCCTAATTTAAAGAAATGAATGTGGTTAACATTTATCAAATTAATATTTACCAAAATATATTGTTTATGCTAAAATTTAAATTAGGTCAAGTACCGAACCATTTTTTAAATAACTTTTTATAAATAACAATAATAAATATAACACAAGAGAAACAGGAAACTTTATAACACATTTCAAAAAAACAAAACTTTCCCAGTTTTCAAATTAATATCGGGGTCCTTATTTATACAACAAACTAGTAACTAAAAATATATCAATTTGCAATCCAGATAATCAAAATTCCTTGAAAATAAAGTTAAAAAATATGATACTGAATCTAAACAGATACTCTGAATTCTTCTAAGACTATAAATTAAATTACATATATATTAACTACAAAGTGAACTGACTCATTTTTGTGTATTATCTAAATGACTCTTACCTTTCTCAAACAATATATCAAAAATTATTTATTACATGCATAAAAAAACACTTGATATTTTTCTTATCAATTTTAGTTATTATGATGCTTGTTATGTTTAATTTTTTATCCTGAGCTTATTTTGAGTTTACTTTTTACTATGAGTTTAGTTTAAAGACTATAAAAATTTAGTTGTACTTAACATATAGTCATTAAGATCTTCTTGAAGTCCGGCCGGACTTCAAGAAGATTGTAATGATCTTATCACGATATAATGAAATTTATATTTAATTATAAATTTCATTATATATTTTGACTCACGAGACTGGTAAATGTTACACCTTTAATTTACGAAACTTGTAAATGTTATATGTGCGGGAAATATATAAGAATAAAAAATAAAAATATCTGTCCTATGACAAAAAATTTTAATTGTTCTGTTCATCAAGTTTCGACTTTAGATGTTGAGGTTGTTCTGTTCATCAAGTTTCGACTTTAGATGTTGAGGTTGTTCTGTTCATCAAGTTTCAAGTTCATCAAGTTGCGCAACAGTACCGTTGCTTTAATTTTTTATCCTAAAGTCACGGTAGTAAAGTTTGATTGGTTTATTATAAGTCACGGCTTCGAATATTATTAGTTGATTTTCAAAGTTTTATTTCTAGAAATTTTAAAAAGAATTGCACCCCTACATTTTTAAAAATGTTTTTAAACTATTTTTTATTGAACGTTATTGTTATTGTTGTATATTGAAAGTTACATTGATTTTTATTATTTACATACATCGACTGATATAGGGATAGGCGCAGTGAGTGTACATACATCGACTGATTTAGAGATACGTGCAATGGAGCGCACATAAATTAAGCCGGGTGAATAAAAATGAGCAATTGCTTTTACTCAGTAATTAGTCAGCTTTATGTGAATAAAAACTTCAGCAATTTTGCTTAAGTTTTTGTTTACGTAAAGCTGATCAATTACTGAGTAAATTGCTTAACTTTACACAAATAAAAATTTGAGCAAAACTGATTAAGTTTTTATTCAAGTAAAGCTGATCATTTACTGAGTAAAAGTAATTGCTTATTTTTATTCACCCGGTCTATTGATTAATGGTTTTGGTTCCTTTAAATAAAAGAAGAAAAAAATCAATCACTGCCGTGACTTTTGACGTGAAAAATTAAAGCGACGGTACCGTTGCGCTGGAGACGTAAAAAAATAATGACTTCAAAAAAGAAAGAAATAATAAATTCATTACTCTTTATGCAAAAAAAGATTTAAAAAGTTTCTGGAAATAATAAAATTATACATAGTATTTGAAAACTAAAAGAAAAAATATTTCAAATAAAAAATAATTTAAAATAAAATTTTTTAAATGTTTAATTTTTAAGTTTCGCTTTTATTCTTATCCATCCATAAATGGAAAAACAGTTGTTATAGTAAAACTTAAACTTCAGTACCGAAGTTTAACGAATAGTACTTTGTTTAATGAATAGTTAATTTGTTTAACGATTAGTACTATTCGTTAAGCGAATAGTACTATTCATTTAACGCTTACTAATCGTTTAACGAATGTTACTATTCGTTAAGCGAATAGTACTATTAGTTAAACAAGTATTACTATATGTTAAACAAAGTTTAACAAATAGTAATATTCGCTAAAAGGATATTACTATTTGTTAAACAAAGTTGAACGAATAATAATATTCGTTTAACAAATAGTAATAACTTTTTTTTTAAATAGTAATATACATATTTTTTTAATTGAAATAATTTTTTTTTCAATTATGTACTTAAACTTGTCAACAAAAATTAAGAACCAGAAAATTGTTTTTTGACGTAACTTTGCATTTCTGCTTTGAATTATTCTATCTTGTATAACTGTTATTATGTATAATTCTTAATATAATTTATGTATTAATACATAAATTATATTAAATATAATTTATGCATTAACACATAAATTATATTATACATAATCATGTATAATTGTTTTTATTATTGATTATTACATATAATTGTGTATAACAAAATACAAAAAAGTGATGCTAAAAAATTTAATAAATGAATAATAAAAATAAGAGTGAAAAAAAACAACTATAATCAACTGGTTGATATGTCAATTTAATAAAAGTATGATCAAAGGAGAGACACCAAAGAACACCATCGCTACGAATTTTACCTGCATTCTCACGTAAAGTTCCTTTGTGCAAATAATACACCCAACCTTTTTTTTAAATTTTTAATCTATCTTAGGTGCCCCCAAAAAGTCTTTACGGTCTTATTACTGATCACCGCTGAAAAGCAATTGAAAAGAACTTCACGCTCCCTTTCTTACCGATGTAATAGGCCGGATGAATAAAAAAAAGCAATAAATTTGAGCAAAATTGCTCAAATTTTTATTCACGTAAAGTTTCAAAAACGCCGAGTAAAAGTTATTGCTTTTTTTTATTCACCCAGCCTATTAAAATTTGCGCAGAGGCGTTGAACCCCGTTGGCGTTGAACCACGGATCTCTAGCTTCTGAGGCAATCGCGTTAACCAATGCGCTACAACTGCGGCTGCGTCAGGAACCATTTTATGTTTATACTGTTCTTCTTTTAGTAAATATTTCTTTGAACCTCAGTTGAATCTTACCTCCTGAAAAATTCACCGGTCGTATTTTCTTACAGTGCGACCAATATGACTGCGATTGTTTACTGTTCGGATCTTGATTTTGATGACTTTTATCTCGTGATTCGCAAAAACTTCAATAGTTACATGCTTAGCCTCAAAATATACTTAAGTATCAGTTCACCTAATTGTTGTAAAATCAAGTTTAGATATTCTGGCCCATCTTTTTTCTTTAGTTCTTTTTCGTTTTTCTTCAGTAATTTTTGAACTTTATCTCCAAAACTCAGTTGTTTATTTGAAACAAATGTCTCAGTTCTGATATTAATAGATGACATTACTCATACTGATTTCTCTACTTTATGCTTACTTGGATAAGTATTCGCTACAGAAATCTCATAGAAACCATATACAATTTTAAAAAATAAATATAAAAAGATTTCAATGTTAGCATCTGTTAAGATTGCTTCTTCTTATCGTGCTCGCCACTTTCTTACCCGATTCCGATTTCTCTAAAAACCTCCTATTTATTCCTGTAAGGGATACCGTTGTTAAATTTAAGCTGGTACTTCTCTTCTTGACAAAAAGTCCAAAAATTTATTTTAAAAGTAATTAGTTTTTTTCCTTCTGAAAAACCCATTGTTTTAAGGTTGCATTTTGTTTTCATTTACCGTGAAACCTAATGTATTTTCAGTATTTCATATTAAATCCGAAAAAAATTTTCCGTTTTATGATGTTTTAAGATTTTAATGATTCTCGTTTATACAATTACATGGTCTCGTTTATATATACACATGGTTGCTGCTCAACTATCATCTCTAGTTCCATAAAAAAATCTAATTCTTGCTTAATTTGTCATTTAGCAATATTAATTCCTTTTATTGTATTTGTATGCATCTGTATGCATCTTTATGCATCTGTATGCATCTGTATGCATCAAGTTTCTTTTCTTGCACATCAATGCTTTTGAACTTTCTCATGTTTTCCCAATATTAAACGTCCAAATTATCTTGTGGTTGCTTGGAGCCTTGTTGGGAGTAAACTAGTTTTTAAATAAATAAATCTAATATATATTTTATCTCGTCTGATGAATTTTTACTGCCGCAAAGGAAAACAGTATTATTGTAACTATTATTAAAGATATTTAAATAAGTATTTTTAACAATACTTGGTGTTAGAAAAAGCAAACTTTCAGACATGAAGCAAACTTCAAACTTTTCTATTTTTATGTCAAATAAGGATGTTTTAAAATTAAAACAATTAAAACCTGGAAACAAAAAGTTCGAAAATCAGAACTTGCCAGAACTTTGTATTTGTATTAAAGAAATGTAAAGCTGGTGTATTCGATATATATCCGGAAGAATACAGAACTTCTACTGCTTTCTCAAAAAAAAAAAAAAACTTATGTCTTAAACAATTATCTCTGGTATCAAAAAATGATATTTTATCTCAATTCAATTTAATTTCCTTTTCTCTCAAAATGTTTTTTTTTTTTTTTTTGTGTTTGGATTTCTGATACTGTTACTATCAATTTATAGGTTACCTGCAATTAAAAATATCTATTTGTTGTATTTATTTATATTTATATCTAGTTATCCATAATTACTATAAAATTGACTAAAAATAAATATCGTAACAAATTAATAAAAAAAATTTATACCTATTGTAATTATTAAATGAAAAAAAAAAAATTATACCTATCGTAATTAAAGACACTGGAACGCCAAGTAGAAGAAATGTTACAATTAATCTAAAACCTGAATAAAAAAGTCAAACTTTTCATTTAATGCTGGGGAACAAATAATTGATTATTTGCGGTGATGGTCTAAAAACTGAAAACCGCTAACCGACAATTACCGACAATCACCGCACATCTCTAACCGCTGTCACCGCCAATGCATCACCGCGCACCGCAATCACCGACCGCTGCGGTTAGCTGATAACCGACCATCACTGCAGAAGTCCGATCACTGCAAATGGTCGATTTTTTGTTCCCTATTTCATGCTAGTCAAATTTATCATTATTATTATAATACAATTCCATTAAATTTTTTTTAAATCTCGCTTGTATTAATATAATTTATGTTATGTTTGTATTGTTTTTGTTTTTTTTATAATATATGATCATTGTTTTTTATAACTATATTGATAATTTCATTATCGTTTTTATCGTTAATATTATGATAAATAAAATTTATTTTAATTTACATTTCAAGTTTGACTTCATTTTGGGTCAATATTCTCATGGTCAATAAATTTCGGGTAATAATGTTACAAGTAGGGGAAGTTGGGGTACAGTGGATCAAAAAGCGCAGTAAATAAAAGGCATTTTCTCAAAGATTAGAGTTTTGTTTATCTTGATAATGTAATCATTTTATGTGCTTATATACCAGCCATCTTTATTTATAGTTGTTACCACAAAAATTTTCAATACCGGTTTTTTGAAGGTAACTTTTATTTTTAACTAACTAAAGTAAATGTTATTACCTTCCTTATGTTTGTAACGGCGACCATGGTTGAAATAATTTTGAAAGTTGAAGTTTTTTATTTAGATTATTGTTATTTATGCTTTATTTTAGTAGTTTAGTTTTTCTTTTAACAACTCTCATGTCCCTAGAAACTAGAATTAAAATTTGTTATGGTTGGGTACAGTTATTCGGGGTACAGTGAATAGGTTAATTCACTATGCCCCATTAATGATCTTAAAGATTAAATTTATACATTTTTAACAAACAAACTACATGAAAATAAATTTATTAGTTTTAAATTAGGAATAATGATATTTAAATAATTTTTTAATTTTTAAATAATTTTGTAAGTTTTGTTATTAATAAAATGTTTTTTTTTTCTTCTCAATTTTCAAAATGTCAATTTTTTCGATTTTATACTAATCTAATTAATAAAAGTATGCCAAAAATATAATGTACAGTGTCTTTACTCCCTCAGCATCATAGTTATTTGGCTATGCCCCTATTCACTATCATTAATTCACAGCTGTGCACTGGGGCACAGTGAATAACGTAATACAACTCACTTTAAACCTTTCTTTGAGTTGTTAGATAACAAATATTTCGGTTTTAGTGATTTATTACCATGAAAGACATATCTCAATCCTTTTCGCCTTGAAAAAAATAAAATACATATTATAACTTTTTATCAATTTAAAAAATAAAGAAATCCGATCCACTATGCCCTAACATCCCCTAATAAAACATTGATAATTACCTTTATTTATAAATTTTGTAAATATATATATCTAATTTATTTATTTTAAAATTTTAATTGAGGTGTTTTTCAAAAAGTAGTGGAGAGTTGCCTTAATTGGAACACTTAAGGAATAAATATCTATTACCCAAAGATGGCTTAACTATGAAAACATTTATGATATGATTAATGCAAACAGACATCCCTACTATACTTTTAACCACAGTTTGACTTATTGGAAATAAATTTGTTTTTGCAAAGTTACTATTTTATTCCAATCAAGGCAACTGGTTCCCTAAATTGGAACACTTTGATTTCTTAATCAACACATTATTTTATCAATACTTAATCAGTAGTTATTTTAACTTATTATAGGATTAGTATTACCCTAACAAATTTAAAGTCTACAAACGAAAAATTGTATAAAGCTTTAACTACAATGACGTTTTCTTAGTTTATTGATTAAAAATCACTAAACAAAGTATTATTTATAAAGCTTATGGTTTTTACTAAGTATTTTTTTAATTGCACTCGAACTATTTTTACAACCCTTTGATTTTATTATTGATTAGGTAAGGAAAACTTTATTGTTCCAATCAAGGAAACTTTCGACTATTTTGTTATATCACTACAATAACATGCTTCCAGCAACTTATAAGATAAGATTATATAGTTATTTTGCATTTTAAATCCCATCGAATTAAACACAAAAAACGGTATAACCTATAGCACCATAGTTTACCAGCGCAATCAATATAGTGTGAATACAAAATTAGATCACTAAAATAAATGATGCAAAAAAACTTTAAATCAATGGTGCAAACACATTTTTTGAGGAATAACTTTCAAAATGTGTCAAAACGTAGATAATAATGCTTTTTACTAAAAAAATGAAAAATATAGTCATAATTCATTTTTTTCAAAAATAAATGCAAGTGTTCCAATTAAGGCGCTGTTCCAATTTCGGCAACTCTCCCCTACATTTAATTAATGTTTTTTTTTTAAAGTTGATATTATAATGATCATAATGATGTTTATATATGCATATATATACAATGTTTTTCATCTTATCTTACAATTGATGAGCTTTAAAATTATCTAAAAAAATTAAAGACCGAAGTTAAAGTAAAAATCATTAAAACATTTTACTCAAAGCATATATAATCCATTAAATATGAAAATTTACAATAATATTTAATAAACTCATATAAATAAGGTAAGGTGTCACTCATATAGTTAAAAACTAACCAATGGAGTGACACCTAAAAAAAACAAAACAATAATGATCATTGACCAAAAATATTAAAGTAGGTTACCCAAAATAAAAACTGTTAAATTAAGTTACCCAAAATAAAACTATTAAAGTTACCAAGATAAAAAATATTAAAGTAAGTTAAAGTAATTGTATTCAATAACAAAAAATTATTGTGGCAACCTGTGTTTATTTCAAAACTGACGTAATTTTTTGACCAGTATGCAAAAAAAAAAAAAAAAAAAAAAAAATTAAAAATCAAACAACCATAGACACTCACAAGAGAGATCAGTAGAAAACACACCATTTGAAGCCGTTGACTGCTTATCGGACAACAAACCTTTTAAAAGTAATAATACAAAGTAATAAAAAGTTAATATACATTGAATATAAAAAGCAAAATATATTTTCCCCTAATATTCTGTACAAGACAACATATTTTTTGCTAGTCGTTCCCCTAATATTCTGTTTTTGTTTTGGCAATTTTAAAAACGAGAAATATTTTTTAAAGGTTGTAAAAGCGTTTACCTTTTCTCTCATTTTGGTTCTCCAACTCCCCCTAAAATTTTAAATTGACTTGATTAATCTGAAAATTGACTTGATTAATCTGAAAATAGTATCGTTATAATAATTTTAAAAAATTATATAATGAACATGTGCAATAAAGTTTTCTTTGAACTATTTTAATTATGATAATAAATATCGTTTTGTTTTTGAACTCCTTCGTATTTAAAAATTATCTTTCTAAACATTTTTTATTAACCTTTTAAAGAAAGATCATAAAAGCTACTTTGACTCTATTTTCTAATATCTTCTGTATTTTTCTGTTTTTATTATTATTACAGGGCGTTTTCGTCAATTGATTACATATAAAATATGCGATCTCCTACGCTAATGTATTACGCATGCTTGCATTATTTGAAACCAATTAGACGCCGTAATACTCCCTCAACTAGTCCTAATATTTCTAACTTGTAAAAAAGTCCTTTTCATGATATCGTGTCATAACAGTTTCACAAGTTGTACTTATGTCTCTGTTTTTTATTTGTTTTCTTTGTGTGTGTAATAATTAATTATGTGCTGTTTTACAGTTATATTTGTCAACTTTAAGAGTCTTTCTTTCCATTGTGTTTTAAATTAATATTTTCCATCTACATATTTAATTGATTTTGCTACTACTACCATTTAAAAGTTTGTGACGAATCCCTGAAAATGAAGGGATTATAAACTTTGCATAGTCAAGTTTTGAACACTAAAATATTATTTGATGAATTTTAAAATCGATCGCTGCATATAAATTTAGTTTAAATTAGTAATGATAAAACTTTAGTAAAAATTTTCTCACATATTTAAGGTTGGGGGAAGAAGGGGGAGGCATATATTTTAAAGTTTTTATTGTTCAGTTGTTCAACTTGTTTTATTGTTCAGTTGTTCAAATTTCATGTTTCATAAAAGGTTATCATCATGAAACATGAAATTTAGAGCGGAAATTTTTCATGGCTTTTTGAGTTTGGATTTTCACTTGTAGCAACATTGGCTGAGGTTAAAAGAATATTTCAAAAGATAAATCAAATTTAGAAGTGATCAAAAAAGCACTTTTATAGTTGATACTTCAAATTTAACTGCTCAATATAACTCATCTATCATTCAACATAATTCAATCATCACTCAATTGTCATTCAACATAATTCAATCGTCATTCAACATAACTCATCCGTCATTCAACATAGTTCAATCGTCATTCAATCGTTATTCAACCTTCATTCAACACAACTCATCCGTCATTCAACATAATTCAATCGTCATTCAACATAATTCATCCATCATTCAACATAACTCAGTCGCCATTCAACATAATTCAATCGTCATTCGACAAAATTCAATTGTCATTCAACATCATTCATCCATCATTCAACATAACTCAATCGCCATTCAACATAATTCAATTGTCATTCGACAAAATTCAATTGTCATTCAACATAATTCATCCATGAATTTTCAGTAGTTTTATAAAAGTATCATGAAAAATTCTAATCTTTTAGAAAACGTCAATTTAACTGAAAATGATATTTTTCAGTTAAATTGACTTTTTCTAAAAAAAAATTTTCACAAAATTGTTTGTGTAAATAAATAATTCACATTGAATAATAAAATTTATAAATATTTTTTTAATATATATTTTTTTGATGACTTTGATATTTTAAATAAACAGAGAAATATCGTTCAAGATTTTAAAATCTATTTAAAACATAATTTAAAAAATATTGGTACATTGTACCAAACCAAACAGTTTATAAACCAATCTTGCTTGAAATTAATATACTTTTTATTTATACATTGTTAACTAAACTATGCAAACAGCACTAACATTACTTCTCTGCAAATAAAAACATGCTATTAAGATAATTAATGTAGAATAGTTTCTCTCATACAAAAAAAAATTTCAGTCAACTTATTATACAAAATGTTTTCAAAATAAATCTTTATTGTATACTTAGATTTATGTTTATACTTGATAAAAAATGGTTTAGTTTTGTTTTAACTTATTGTTTAAAATAATAACTCATATATTTATACCACTACATTTGAAAAAAAATAACTTTAGTTAATTCAAAATCTATTACTCAGCCACTAAATATTCAATCACTAACCGAAGCTCTAAACTATGCAACGCACTGTTAAATAACGATTTGAAATGCTTTCTTCATTTGATCAATTTAAAACTCTTTCTAAACGACAATGAATTTTTTTCTTAGGCGTTTCAATGCGAATGCTTTTTTTTGAGAATACAAAAAAAAAAATTATATATTATTGGAGTTTTATGTTATATACATTCTTATAATTTATTCGCTCTTAGTTTTAAATATTTGTTTTCTTCTAGTTTACACATAACATATAGTTTACGTATATTTATGTGAGCGTAAATTTACTTTTTATGTTTTTTAAATTCTTGTTATGTTTCTTTTTTAAAATTATTAATATTTTCAATCTAATAGTGAGGTGAAGAAAAATTTCATCTTGGACTTCTTTAATCGAGTGTTTGTAGAGAATTAGATCGAATGTTCGTCGTTCTTTTTAATACTTGTCACCAAATATTTTTTTTATTGCGTAATCCTCTCTTATTTATGTTTTTACTCAATCGCTGCTTAAAAATCTCACTTTGACTTAATGCTTTTTTTCTTCGTAATCATTTTTTACATTAGATCTAAAAAATGCCTAAAAAATCATATTTTCTGCTATACAAATAATTGTTTACTCAGTCCATAAGTTGACTAAATTTTATATTAATTTTCTCCATTTCATTAACTATATTGTTTAATTCCTAAGTGTTTTCCATCATTTTGTAACAATACAATAGTTTCGTCAACAATTCTAATACCTCTTTTTAGCAATCTTCAAACAACTTTTTCTTTTTTTTCTTTTCTGTTTGACATTCTCATTAAATATAAGTTTTTTTTCCTCAAACAGTTTTTCTTGTGGAATTGGAGTAGCGTATCACTACATATTTGTCCGTATTTTTTTTCTCTTTTCATATAAAAATCATATAACAATGATTATAACGAAGTTCTCCGATGAAAAAACTATATATAAATGGAAGTGGGTGAATAAGCGATTTACTGAGTAAGTTTAAAAAACAAAATAACTTATTTTTAATATTAGCTTTTTTATTCAGTATTTTTTCCTTTTTTAACGTTTTTTTCAAATAGCTTGTAGTTAATCATGTTTTTAACATCCGTATCAACACAAAAATTTAACAAACAATTTTATTAACGTCTTTAACTTGAGAGTTACATCAAAATTTATATTTAGCACTACATATAACTTTAAAAACTTTACCTGATCCGCCATTTATATTAGTTTTATACAAAGCAGTTTTTTTCAAATATTTGACTATTTTCGATTATATTCGACTGCTTGCTTAAAGTCTCATGTTATTAAAATCGTTGTTTAACTTTTATAAATAATAATCGTTGTACTTAAAAAACCAACGGATAAAGGGATTTATTTAAATATTGTTCATCCAATCAAATATCATTTCATGTAATTAGACAAAGTTAACGTACCAGATTAACCACCAGTCGAGTACAGTTATAATGTTCAAATTGTCATTTTTGACACAAAAACATTTTTGAGAATCAAATTTGGTATTTAGAATAATCCTGCACAAAATGATGCAATCTTAGTCGAAATCTTAGACGAAATGATGCAACCTTAGTTTTTTTTTCTTTTTCAAACTATTATTGGTTTGGTTAACATATAATTTAAAAGCCTAATAATTTAATAATATCAAAATAACTTTAATATTAATGAAAAAATCAACTTTATTGATCATCAACAAATTCTTAAAGAAGAAAGCATTTTTATATCATATTTGAAAAATTGATCATTAATACAACATTCTTATCAAGTTTCGTGTAAGGTTACATAATCAATTAAACTGTGTTTAATATAGATATTTAACTTGAAATAATTCCAATGAAAAATGTAAAAGAATTTCATATTTTAATAACTTTGAAATTTTTAAATTTATTTATTTCAAGATTATAAAAAAGGGTTTTAGTAATAAAAATTTGCGACTAACTTTTACAACAACTAGAGCTACTCTAATGGACAAAACAATCAAGACAAAACAATCAAGACAAAACAATCAAGACAAAATAATCAAGACAAAACAATCAAGACAAAACAATTAATATTTCATTTTCTTGACTTTTAAAAATAATGTTTTTTTCTCTATTTTTTTTTTTAAATCTATTTTTTTAGCAGAAAGGATTGGGATTTGTATATTCAGCTGTCTAGATTAACCAGTTAATTGTGTTAACCTGCAAGTTTATTAAACATTCAGAAAGATGCACTTGCAATGGAATATTCATGTCGCAAATAAAATACAAAATAAGAATAAAAATGTCATCATTTCACAAAAATGCCAAAGTTGCCTTAAAATGTGACATTTTTTTTTGAGACATTTGGAAAAATGAATCAGTAAAATAATTTTACTTAGTTTTTTGAAAGAAAAAGATACTCTTTCAGTACTTATTTTAAACTCTGTTTACAACAAAATCTAACCTCTTTAAGGCAAAACTAAAAATTCGCTCAGTCATACTTTAGCGTGGTCTTATATTGTTTCTATTTTTTATTCCAATTCACTCTTAGCATACAACCACTATGAAGTCGGGTCCAACTACGTTTACAATGCGTTTTTGGACCTTGTCTAAAAGAGAAAGAGTATCATTAGAAGAACCAGCCCAAATATGACAACAGTATTCCATACAGGGGCAAATAAGAGATTTGTAGAGGTAGAGAATAGAATCAGGAGAGAAAAAATGGCGAGAATGATAAAGAGAAGCAACCTTAGTAAATGCTAATTTAGCAATCAATTGTATATATGGTTTCCATGAAAGGTCAGAAGTAAATGATAATCCAAAAAGACATAAAGAAAAGGACTTAGTGAGAAGGTTGCAATTCATCAATATAGGAATGTCGACAGTAATGCAATTGTTGTTTGCAGTAAATAACTGAGTTTTTTTAGAGTTGAAATTTACAAGCCACTGTGAGCCCCAATCAGTTACAAAAGTGAGATCATATTCAAGATCGACTGCCTGTTCTAAACAATCGAAAAGAGAAGACTTTTTGTCAAGACAGGAGTATAAAGTTGAGTCATCAACAAAAAGAGGTACTTTAAATGTAAGGTTGTTGGAAAGATCATTAATGTAGATAAGAAACAAAACAGGACCAAGAGAACCTTGATAGAATCTTGAGGTACCACAAAAGTTACGGGAAATAAAGAAGAGTGTTGACATTCAAGGATGACTTTAATAAAGCGATTAGAAAGAAACGATTTGATAATCTCATAAACTTTCCCAGATACACCATATGAAACAAGCTTATGGAGATGACTAGCACGCCAAACTTTGTTGAATGTCTTAGGTATGTCAAGAGCAATAGCCGTAGCCTTTCCGCCTCCATTGAATGTACGATAAAATCTTTTAGTCACAGCAGTTAGCAAGCCAACCGTAGAGCGAGAGGATCAAAAACCGTATTGATTGTCTGACAGTAAGTTATTTGACTCAATGGAATATGAAAAATTTGTTTATTAAAGACTCAAAGACCTTGCTAGTAACAAAAAGAAGACTGGTCGGACAAAATTTTTGAGGGGTCAGAATGCTCCCCGGAGTTTTTGAAAATCGGAACAACAGATTTTTCAGAGTGCCTTTTTCCAGCAGGCAGGAAACAAGGTTCCAGCAGGCAGGAAAATAAGAAAGTTTATTAAGTACTTGACTGAGCATTTATTAAATAGCTTAGAGTAAATTAAAGAGAGTTCTGGAGAACAATTTTGTAAAACTATCACAGGAATGTTGTCTGGACCATAAGCCGTAGAAGATTTTAATCGAGATATGAATTTAGAAACGAAAGCTGGATTGATTTGAATGTCTAACAATTTTGTTTAATTGGAATGGAAGAAAGAGAATGGTCATATGATTTGAGAGTCTAGCTAGAAGAGAAGTTCTTTGCGAATAGTTCTGCTTTATCCTTTGGAGAGGTTATAAGATCAGTCCCATGAATGAGAGAATGTTGGACCTACCTTTGTTAACGACACTGTTGAAGATTTTTTTAAAGTCTCTAGAGTCTTACTCCTGAGACACGAGATTTAGTGAACTGAGAATAATTGAGCTTAGCATCAAACAGCATCTTTTTAAATTGATTTTGTTCAACCATAGCCGTTTAATCTCAAGAGAAATTTTTTATCTTTTGAAAAAGATGAAAAAAAAATGATTACAATTAGATATAGCAGCTGCTTTAGTGGATGAAAACCATGGAGAAGAATGAGGCTTGACTTGGAATCAACGAGAAGGAAAAACTTTCATTCCTTCCTAAATCCAGGAGGTTACGTAGGAGGCGTATTTAACATCTGAGAGGGAAAAGATAGCAGCCCAAGAGCCGTCACAAAGAAAATCACTAAAAGAGTCCTAGTCAGCATTAGGGTAGTAATAAGTAGTGCGATGACAGAGTGAGTCCAAAAAGAAAGTACGAGATTAAAGATTTAAAGAGACCATTGCATGGTCCTTACCACCTAAAGGAGAAAAAGGAGAAACTGAACAGAAGCTAGTATCAGAGACCAGACATAAATCAAGCAGTGAAGGTAAATAATTAGGGTTATCAGGAAATCAAGTCACAAAGTTAACTATCTAAGTAAAAGAATAAGAAATATAGAAATTATAGGCTTTAGTGCTAACAAGGTCAGTGGCGTTAGAGCCAAACCATTTAATGTGATAAGCATTAAAGTCACCAATAATAACAATATTGGCAGAGGTATAAAGAGAGAGGGCATAGTCAACTTGATCAGAAATTTCATCTTAAAGAATTTGGGAAGAAGGAGAACAATAAAGAAAAAGAGAAAGGTGATAGAGTAAAGACGTGCTAAGCTGAAGCACATAAAACAATGGTCAAAAGATTTAAACCTGATTTCACAACCAATAGGTGAATTGATGCGTATGTTTACCCTCAAGTCAAGCATGTAGTTATAGGAGTCTTTGCAAATCAAAAGACAGTAACCATCAACACTGATATCAGAAGAAGGAATAGCAGAAATTAAACTAGTCTCACTAACAACAAGCAAGTCTGGTGAATTTTGCAAGAGAGAAGATTCAACTGATGGAAGGTTGCTTCACAGACCACAAATCTTAGTAGAAGATATATTAAAACAATTAGGTGGTGAGGATCGTTTTTTATGTTTAATATTTTGACTTACCTTTGGTATATTTAAGTTTAAAATGAACTTGACTTGTTCATAGATAAAGCACGGCCTCCCAAGCAATGAGCTATACAATTTTCTCAGTACTGTTTATTAACCCTAAGTTGTAACATAGGTTACAACTTTAGTTAACATAGTCGTAACATAGTAGTAACATTTGCTATTGCTCTTACAGATGCTATTAATTTTATAACTATAAAAGAAGACAAAGAGACTCTTCTTGCTCAGAGAGATAAAGGAAGACGTGGAATTAATAAAAAGGTCCAATTAATATAAGACTTTTAAAACGTGGAACTATAGGTCCAATTAATATAAGACTTTTAAAACGTGGAACTATAGGTCCAATTAATATGACTTTTAAAAAAAAAAAGCGAAGCAAAGACCGACAGCTTTTAAATAAATAGAAAAAAGGTTTTCAGAAAACAGTAGCAAAACTGACATGAAGAAATACGAAAACGAAATAATAGAAGATACAGTGGCTAGTGCATTAAATTCACAAAATGATATTCTAGTCAAGTTCATCAATGATCAGTTAGCGACACTCAAGCCTTTACTCATTTCAATACCAAGTCAAACTGCTTGAGAACTATTTGCGTTTTGAGCCTTCAATATTTTTGTTGTACAAGTTTATATTAAGTACTTGTTATTCTAATAAAGAATTAGCTCCGTATAACAATCTTAATCTTTTAAAGGAACTCAATAACTATAAGGTAATGCTGCTACCAAAAGCTCTTCAAGACATTCATGGTATTTGAGTGAGACATTTATTTGATTAACCTTTTTAAAAAAAAATTGTCTTTTGATATAAAAGTTAAAACGCTTAAATCATTAGTGAAAGAAGGAGCTGACTTTCTTTCACAGTGTATTGCGTTTGAGACGTCTGCAAGTTGCAGTTGAGACGTCTGAAATTCAAACAGTACAATTTACAAGTTTTCGTTTTTAAAAATTATTGCAATTAATTAGTTAATAAGTAATTAGTTAATAACTATTGTTCATATGGATAGGAATCATTCTGCATAATCGGGATAAAAAAACTACCAAAATCTTGCCTCTCCTTTAAAATTCATATAGTTTTAATATTGCTTTTAAATGTAAAATTATTCACCCCACCTAGGCGAGATCTCCGCTATGAACTACCAGTATCTCGGTTAGACAGGACAGAAATCAAGAATTTAGAATTAGAATCTAGTCCTACACGAGAAACTAGAAGCAAAAACTCATTGTTTGATTCAGATT